CTAAAAATTCCGAACTACAAATGAAAAGTGAACTAGATTCATAAAACCCCAGTCACTTTGAAGAAAAAATTACTGAGAAATAAATCTATCTGTCCTACTGTAGCCATTGAATTTTTAGCTTGCTTATAATTAACAGTTAACCCTGGGAGATTGTAAGTAGTCTACCAAATGAGTATGTCATTTCTAGGTAATATAGTCATTATAACTCTGCTCTTATTTTGTTTTTTTCCAAGACAATTTCACTCTGTCCCCCCAGGTAGAGTGCAGTGGCATCATAGCTCACTGCAACCATAAACTCTTAGGCTCAAGATCTTCCTGCCTCAGCCTCCTGAGTAGCCTGGGACTACAGGTACACCCCACAATGCCCAGCTAGTTTTTCTACTTTTAGTGGAGATGGGCTCAGACAGGTCTTGAATTCCTGAGCTCAGTTGATCATCCTGCCTCAGCCTCCTGGAGTGTTAGGATTGTAGGTGTAAGCCCCTATACCTGGCCAAGAATTTACTGTTTTACTCAAAAACATCCTACAGCTATACTGTGAGCAACTGTGGCTCCTTCCATACACCTAAATCTTCGAGTCAGAGTTCTGTGATATTAAAGACCATCTCCTATAAACACTGGACTTCTATATATCTCTCAACTCTATGGTTTCCTTTCCTGTTTTAATAGAAATGTTGGAAGTATTGGGTAGGGAATTATGAGTAGAGCTATGACTGGGAGAATATTCAACCCTGTCCTGGGATATATGCTTTATGATACATTGGTTGGAAAATAAATGAGAATATTCTTTTATGATTTTTCACAAAGAATGAGAGCTGTATACTTAACTAGCATTTTTCCTTTTATCATTAAGAACACCTCTATCTCATAGTATACTTTGTCCTAATGTCAAATTTTATTCTGAGTAACTATATTAAAATTTCTCTAGCCGCCTTTAAGATTTTCCTTCTATCTTTAGTTTTCAGCAAGTTTGACTATTGTGTCTAGGTGAGACACAACACTAATCAGAGATCTCTGGGCTTCTTGGATCTGTGATTTGCTGTACTTCATTAATTTTGGAAAATGTTTGGCGTTTACATATCCTCAATCATTACTCCTGCCTTGCTTTTCTTTTTTCTCTGACCCGTTACACGTATACTATTTAATAATGTCCTACAACATTATTCTGTTCTTTTTTCCAGTTTTTTTATGCATTCAGTTGGAAAATGTCTATCTTCAAATTCACTGATCCTTCTGTGTCTTGCAGGCTGATAAGCCTGTCAAAGGCATTTTTTTACTTCTAGCACTTGACGCTGTTATAATTTCTACCTCTGTTCTCAAATTATCCATCAATTTCTGTGTGCTGTCCACCATTTATATGAGGTCCTTTAATAAGTTCATCATAGTTATTTTTAAGTAACCTATCAGTACATTTCAGCGTCTGGGTCATTTTGAATATAGTTTTGTGGATTGCTTTATTTTAATAATGAGTTGGATTTTTCTCTCGCTTTTCTCTCTTTCTCTTAATTTCTTTTATTTTTTTTTTTTACAGAGGTTTTTTTTTTTTTTTTGCAGTTTTTGGCCAGCGCTGGGTTTGAACCCGCCACCTCTGACATATGGCCAGTGCCCTACTCCTTTGACCCACAGGCGCTGCCCTCTTAATTTCTTATTGATGCCAAACACTGTGTATAAAGGAACAGAAGAGACTGAAGTAAATAGTGTTTATCTGTAGAAATGAGGATACCTCTTTTTCTGTCTGGTTCTTAATGTAAAAGATAGTTAATATAGTCAGTAGAGCTGGGTTTGGGTTTCTTGTTCCCCCAGTGTATCAGAGCCTTCAAATACTTTAAACAATTGACTGCTGTTATCACCTTATGAGTAGTTCAAGTCCAAGATACTTATTTTACTTTAGTCGTTTTACTTTGAACTGTTCTGTGCTGTGATGGATCCCTGTTTTACTCAAAGTAATACTATCAACAAAGTTCTACATGATTTGCTAATGGACCAGATAATAAATTATTTAGGATTTTGTAGGCCACAAAGTCTCTGTCACAACTTTCAATTCTGTTGTAAAATGAAAACAGCCATAGACAACAAATTATAAAAAATACTGAACAAGGCTGTATTCTAGTAAAACTTGATCCTTAAAGCAGGCAGTAGGCCAGATTTGACCCATGGACTGTAGTTTGCTTACCCCCCGTAGTTTGATTTAGGGGATTGTGGTCCTTCTCCCCTGCCACGTCTCTGTTATCATTGTAAGGTAAGCCCCACAAGGGCAAGGATTTTTGCCTGTTTTGTTCACTGATTTCTCAAGTGACTGTAATACCTGACACATAGTAGGATGTCAACTTTTAGAAGAGGGGATCAGGGAATAATTATGGTTTTTTTGTTTGTTTGTTTGGTTTTTTTTTTAAACAAAGTCTTTCTGTTACCCCAAGCTAAAGTGCCATGGCGGCAGCCTAGCTCACAGCAACCTCAAACTCCTGGGTTCAAACTATCCTCCTGCCTCAGCCTCCTGAATAGGTGGGACTACACGCTTCTGCCACAATGCCTAATTTTTCTTTTCTTTTCTTTTTTTTTTTTTTTTTTGAAGTAGAGATAGTGTCTTGCTCTTGCTGGTCTCAAACTCCTAACCTCAAGCAATCCTCCCATCTTGTGCTTGGCCTTCCAGAGTACTAGGATTATTGGCATAAGCCATCACACCTGGCCCTGGTTTTTTGCTGCTCTTGTTGTTGTTTGTTTTTTAAATAAACAGCATATAGCTGCATTTTAAAAATCCAGTCCACTGATCTCTGAGGTCTCAACAAATATATTTAATTAGATTGCATTTATTGTGATTTCTTAATACATTTGAAATTATTCCTGTCAGGTTTTTGTTTTGTTTTCTATTTATTTCCTTTATTTTCTCCTTTCCTGCCATCTAGATTTATTTATTTATTTATTTATTTAGAGACAAGAGTCTCACTTTGTTGCCCTCCATAGAGTGCTGTAGCATCACAGCTCACAGCAACCTCCAACTCTTGGGCTTAGGCGATTCTCTTGCCTCAGCCTCCCAAGCTGAGACTACAGGCGCCCACCACAACACCCGGCTATTTTTTGTTGCAGTTGGTGGGGGGGGCCGGGTTCCAACCCGCCACCCTCAGTATATGGGGCCGGCACCCTACTCACTGAGCCACAGGCACCACCCTACCATCTAGATTTAATCAGATGTTCTTTATTTACCCTTTTGTTCTGTCTTTTAATTGGGAAACTGCACATTCTCTTTAGCTTCCTTGAGTAGTGATTGCTAAATATTTAACATGTATATTTGGCTTAGCAACATTTGAGGGTATTTATTCGTCTTAAATACTTGTAAAACTTCAGAATATTGGCTCAGCACCTGTGGCTCAAGTGGCTAAGGCGCCAGCCACATACACCTAAGGTGGCGGGTTCGAAT